AAAATTATATCAAATTTTTATTAATATAATAAAAAAAAAGGGCCACAAACTTATATTTTTATATGGAGGAAAAAAAAAAAAAAAAAAAAAAAAAAAATATATATATATATATATATATATATATATACTTTTATCAATATGCTATGTTCTTCTATAAGTACGTCTTGAAGATGGTTCAGGTCACTTTGAGTCAACTTTGTTTTAAAACAATATGTTGTGGTGTCTGCTACAATTACCCAACACGATATGATTTTATTAATGACTTATTTGGTATTTCGTCTTCGATCATTAGAACATGACAAGCGATCACATAACATTGTAAGATCATTTAAGGTCATGCAGCCTGGAGTTAAAAACTGTCTCAAAATAAATGGTATCAGTATAGCTAATTGTAATGTGTCTGAGAACATGAAACTTTTGAAGTGAGTAATAGGATTAGGCAAACGATGCCAAGTAGAAGGCTTTTCAAAATCTCTCCAGTGTCTTAAAAATTGATTCTTCCCATTATCATTTAACAAATTAAGAGTACACTCTAATAATCTTTGAACCTTGCTGGCAACTAAGTGGTAAGCATCATGAGGGGTTTGTAAATGACAGTCTCGAGATAAAGTTGATAAAATGCCTTGCTTCGATCGGAGACCATAACGTCTTGTAAAATTATTAACTTCTAATTTAGTTGCATTTTGGCTTATTAATGTTTGTAATTCAATAAAATATTCCTTGGTGATATGATGAAAATATGCATAATGTATTCTATTAAAAGTGGTGTCAGTCAATCGATCCTTCGGAACAAGACAGTTTCGACATACATAAAGTGCATTTTGTTTTTTAACATCGCTAAGTGCGTTACCCTAGGATAAAAATAAGCACAGTTCGAGTTGATTAATTTAAGGCATGGCTTTGAAATATTAGAATTAGTTTAACTCGATAGAAAGCACGTGTGATGACTTTACAACGAACTATAATGAATGTGGAAGGCTATAACTAATTTGATATGGTTGAGGAGCCTATAAGTCCAAGTGAATACAAGTTTGGATTAGGAATTCCCGGAAAGAGATCAATCTATGGAGCATGGGCACCATAAATGGTGAGAGAAGTGGCGAACATGTGGATGATCTGTGGAAAAGGATTGGCCTTACCAAATGAGGAACACCTCTGGCAGAAGAAACCCAAATTGGGGTGTAGTTGGGGGAACCACCTCCATTACGGTAGAGGCTTAGTTCGCGGGTAAAGTAGCCTGAGGTTCCATCATTTAAATTAGGCTGGTGTTGCAGAAAAAACATTGAAAGTCAGAGGACTTAAATAGAGAACCCACAAGCGGGTTTTAGGTCTGGCAATTAGTAGGTAACCTACGGGTGGCACCTTTAAATAAACAATGACTAAAGTTGTACGTGTGGCTAGTTGTGGCCTCGCTGATATGCAAAATGTAATACCCCCACGTGAGTAGGATAATTACCTAATAAAACAACGGGACACAGAGTTCCCTCTTTAAACAAAAAAAAAAATATTTTTTTTTTTTTTTGGAGGGGGGGAGAGATTCTGGAGGGGGATAATGTAAAACAGAGAATCTAATGGGTCTGGCCTAAATAGATGCCAACTTCATTTCACGATTCATGAATAACTTGTGCCAATTCCAAATCGACCTAAATTCCATAACGACTCGTAACATATATAATTATTTATTATTTTGGTCCGT